ACTGAGCAACGTTTACCGATTCTGCAGACCACTGTTGTGTGCTTCTCATCGATGCTAAGCACCACTGCCCATCGTGGCGAATAAGAATTGATCACAGTAGAGGAGTCGCATGTTGCTTGTCATTACGGTAGCGGTACAAAAATTCCCATGTCGTCGCAGAACGGTTGACTAATGCGACAAAAGCGACTAGGTGCGACACGGAAGACCTCTTGCTTGTGGGCAAATCTTTCTAAAAGAAGGATGCTGTACTGCAAATCTGGATGGAAGCATCTTAATGACAGAGGAAGGCAGCACTTGTCAAATTGAAGAGGCCACTTCACCGATGAAATCACCGATCCAGCCTCAAAAACATCGTTTTCTTTCGCGCTATTCAAGTGATTCTCAACTTCTTGCCAGCAGAACTTGCACTGATATTTTAATTTTCTCAATAAGGAGCAAACATACGTACATGAAATATCCGCTGTTGGAATAGTCAATTTTGCCGTCGTGAAATATTCGCAGTGACCAAGGATCGTAGACCACACAAATGAAGCATAAATTATGTTCTCATACTAAACAATGCGTTTCGATATTCATCAACTTCAACTTTCTATCCCGCAATCTGTTTCCTCTTCATTTTTTATACCTTGTCTTATTACCGTGTATTATCTGTACATGCATCAAAATTTTAGTCAGTGCCAGTTCTATGTGTTTTATTTCGCCTGATTTAGACAGTAAAATCTTTTGCTGTCCTCTGAAACTGCACGATACCTGTGAACACCTGTCATAAATATTGAATCACTTGTCTCGTAGGGTATTTGAGGTTGGAAACGTATGTGTTTTGTGTTAGCAGGGCCCTCAAGCTATTTGAGGAGGCTGTGTCTGTGCGAGGATTATTCGTACTGCAAAACAAGGCTCCGGTAGTAAGAGCATCCATGTGTATTCTACCGAAGAAAGAATAGCTTCTAGCTTCTAAGCAAAATATGACATGCACTCAGTCACACTACAATCTCTGTGTTTAAGGGAGACAGAAAGATTTAAAACCTGCATCTGTTGTTATCTCTAAAACGAATATTATGCCAATA